ACCTGGAAAATGCACTAAATCACAGGAGTTGAGTACAAAAGCTGAACAAGAACACTAGATACTGCAAATGCTGTGGAACCTGACAACATTCTGGAAATAGTACTGAAAATATATGCGTCAGAATTTGCCAAACCACTAGCCAAGCTGTTCCAGTACAACCACCACACTGGCATTTGCCCCACAATGTGGAATATTGTCAAGGTGTGCATGTACACAGAAAGCAAGACAAATTCAACCTGGCCAATTGCCACATCATCAGTCTACGCTCAATCATCAGTAAAGTGATGAAAAGTATCATCAACAGTGCCATCAAGCAGCACTTGCTTAGTAATAACCTGCTCACTAACCCTCCATAAAGGTTCTATTAGGCCACTCAGCTTCTTATTACAATCTTGGTTCAAACATGGCCAAGTGCCATAAGTGAGGTGAGAGTGATTGCCCTTGACTTCCGTAGTACTTGGCAACTTTCATAGAGTTTGGCATCAAATAACTTTAGCAAAGCTAGAGACAATGGGAATTAGGATGAAAGCTTTTCATTGGTTGAAATCCTACCTAGTTCAAAGAAAGATGGTTGTTGGAGGTCAGCCATCTCAACTCCAGCACATCTCTGTAGAAGCTCCTCAGGGTAGTGTTCTCAGCTTAACCATCTTCAGCTTCTCCATCAAAGACAAAGAAAAAGCCTGAAAGAACTGTAGATGCTAGAAATCAGAAACAAAAAAAAATTGCTGGAAAAACTCAGCAGGTCTGGCAGTATCTGTGGAGAGAAATTAGAGTTAACATTTTGGGTCCAGTGACCCTTCTTTTGAACTTAGTTAGTTCTGAAGAGCACAGCTCCCAACACCCACCCCTGCTCCAAAGGTCTATCAAGGATGGACCGAGTTTTTACTGAGTTAGAGACTCAGACTCACAGTGTCCACAGATGACACTGGAGCTAAATTCTACGAGTGCTGTGCATGTTAGGATATGCTTATATGTTTGCTTTCTAAGTAATGAATGATTTTCAGTTGTACAATAGGATTTTGGAAAAAAAAACCTTACATTTATATTGTGTCTTTCAAGAGCACTTTACGCCAATGAAGTATTTTGAAGTATCGTCACTGAGTAACATTGGAATTGTGGTAAGCAATTGATGCCCAATGAGCTCCCGCAGACAGCAATTTGACAATCACCAGAGAATTTGTTTTTTTCTGTAGTATTGATTGAAGACTAGATATTGAACAGGATGCAGTGAATCAATGTTCTCTTTTATTTCCTTTGCTGTCCAGCCACAAATGCTCACATCTTAAAGGGACAATTTATGCAAGATCTGTTTGTCTGCAGTATGGTAAATTCAAATCTGTTCCAAAAAAATGCTAGGTGCTATGGCTTTTTTATATACATCATAAAGAGTAGACAGAGCCTCAATTCAACATATCCTTGAAGCTGAAGTGTTCCAACATTCCCACAGCACAGCACTGTGTGTCGAAATAATTTTTATGCTCAGATCCTAGAATGGGGCTTGAACCCAAAACTTTCTGATTCAGAGATAACACTGCTGCCCACTGACCTTTTTTATTTTGTTTTTTTTAAATTTCACTATTCCATCAGTACATTCTAGTAGGGAAGAATGAGAACAAGCAATATAATCCAAAAGTACAATTTTAGAAAGGTGCAGGAACGAAGAAACCTGGCATATTTATGCACAAGTTGTTGAGGATCGCAGAGCAGGTCAAGTGTTTGGAAAAGGAAAATGGAATCCTGAGCTTTATAAATAGAGGCATAAAGAAAATATTAAGAAAGTTATAATTTATCTTATAGAACAACAATTTGGCCTCAACTGGACTGTTCTGTCTACATTTCAGTAATTGTGGAAACATTTAAAGGAGTTAGAGAGGATGCAGAAAAGATTTGGGAGAATAATCCTATGAATAAGAGGCTTCACTATGGAGACAGCGTGGAAAAGCTTACAGAAGAGAAAGAATGTTCAAAATCATGAGAGGTCGAGACAGAATAGATAGGAAAAATATTGTTCCCCTCTGGGGCATTGTTGAAAACAAGAAGGTGATTTGGCAAAAGAGACAATGGTGGTCTGAGTAAGAATTATTTTATGGAGCAGTGATTCGGATTTGTGATTAGGATTTAGGATTAATGAACTGCCTGAGCAAAGGGATTTGAAGATTCAAATGTGGCTTTCAAAAGGAAATTGAATAATTACCCACAGAGAAGAAAAAAATGCTCCCAAGAAGCCAGGTGCAGTCATACACAAGAGAAAGAACATATCCAGCCATTGTACCTTTTTAAATGTAAACAAAAGCTTGGGGAAACTTCCCTGATGCATTCTCCATGGCAATGCCTTGACCAATCGGAGTCCACTTGCCAAACAATCAGTACTCTTTTTCTCATGCATTATATATTGTTGCTCTCTGTGAAATTTGGTAGTCTTGTGTCTGTCCTGATGAGTGAGAAAAGCTTCAACAGCATGTCTCTTTATTTTGCAAAATGCAAGAAAAAAAAACTGGATTATGAATAAAGGGTAGGATAGTGTGACTAACAGTGCTGCTCTTGTATATGCAGCACAGACATGATAAACATTCTATGATTCAATACTTTAATTTTCAATTCAATCACGTTTGAGAAACAGATGCATTTTCAGCACAATGGATAAAATAGTACTTCTTCCTTCCATATAGTGCAATCATTATATAAGGAAATAATGAAATGTAAATTAAATTGTTCAATTTTGTCTAACTAATAATAAATTATTTCATATGAAGGCAGGCCATTTCACATCCATAGTAGGGAAGATTTAGAATCTATTATAAAAAATGTGATAACCAGATACTTTAGGAAATAATGATATGGTTGGGCAGTCAGCATGGATTTATAAAAAGGAACACACGTTTTACAAACTGGTTGGAGTTTTTGATGATGTTCTATATAAATGAAAACCAGTGGATGTGCTGTATTTGGATTTTTGGAAGGTGTTTGATAAGGTCCCAACCAGGAGATTGTAAACAATGATTAATGTGGTACTTCAAGGATCAGTACCAGGACCACACCTATTGATAACCTGTTTAAATGATTTTGATGTAGTGACTGAATGTAATATTTCCAAATTTGCTGATAACACAAACTAAGTGGGAATGTAAGTGGCAAGGAGAATGCAAAGAAGTATTTATTTAGAAGCTTAACGGGATAGGCCTAGTATGTGGACAAGAACAGGCAGATGGCATATAATGTGACTAAGTATGAAGCTACCAATAGGAAAACAAAAGACACAAACAGGAGTTTTAAATGCTCAGAGGTTGGAAAGTATTGATTTCCAAAGGGAGTGTTCTTGTTTAACACTGACAAGGAGATATCAGGGGTGATCACTAAAAGACGAATGGATTTTTGGCAGATTTTTAAGAAACAAGGAAGCGCAGCGAGGGTCAGTGAAGGAATTGAGTTTGAGGCAAGGACTGAAGAAAATGGCTTCAGTTTTCCCAATATTTAGATGGAGGAAATTTCAGCTCATTCAATACTGGATGTCAGACAAGCAGCCTGACAACAAAGTATATATGTCAACTTATACTTATAAAAATTCTTAAGCTGCAGATTCAGCAATGAATTAAAAAGGAAAATGGCATGTTAGCCTTCTTCCCAAGGAGATTTCGTTACAGAAGAAAAGAGGTCTTGCTTCGATTGCATGGACCCTTGATGAAACTGCACCTAGATTATTTTTGTGTGCTATTTTGGTCTCCTTATCTAAGGAAAGTTATACTGGTGACAGGAGGGAGTGCTACAGAGATTAATTTGCCAGATTACTTCCTGCAGTGGTGGAGTTGATGTATGAGGAGAGATTTGAGGAAACTGGATCTGTATTCTCTAGAGTTTCAAAGAATGAGAGGCGATTGCATTGAAACTTACAGCATTCTTAACAGGGCAATGGCAAGGTGGCTATAGATGGCCAGGCAGCATCAGAGGGGCAGGAAAGCTGACGTTTTGGATCTGGCCCAGACCCAAATCAGGGTTATGGCATCAGGGTTATGGGGCATAGTGTGAGGAAGTGGCATAGAGGTAGATAATCAACAACGATCCAAATGAATGGCAGAACAGGCTCAACAGACTGAATAGCTTACACCTGTTCCTATGATCCTAAGAATTGCTGTCCAGTATATTTAGAGATATTCAAAAAATAAGCAAGTAGAATGAATTTCAGCATGGCAAAAACTAACTTTGTAATTAATTAAGAAAGAAAATGAAAACACATTACTTCTTGGCAAGAGATCTGCACAGCGGGTAGGCAATGGTGAATTGGTATTATTGCTGGACTAGTAATCCAGATACCCAAGATGACATTCCGGGGACCCAGGTTTAAATCTCATTACAGCAGGTAGTGGAATTTGAATTTTGTTGGGCAAATCAGTGGCAGATGGAATTTAACCCTGAAAAGTGTCAGGTGATACACCATGGAACAAGAAACAAGACAAGGGAGTACACTCAATGAATGGCATGATACTAGGAAGCTCGGAAAAACAGAAAGATCTTGGTGTACTTGTCCACAGATCCCCGAAGGTGGCAGGACAGCTTAATAGGATAATTAAGAAGGACACTTTTATTAGTTGTAGCGTAGATTATAAGAGCAGGGACGTTATGTTGGAGCTGTGCAAAACTAGTTTGGCAATAGCCAGAGTCGAGTATGCAGTTCTGGTCACCACATTATGGGAAGAATGCCATTGCACTGGAGGGGATACTGAGGGGATTCACGAGGTTGTTGCCTGGGTTGGAGCATTTCAGCTTTGATGAGAGGCGAGATAGGCGTGGGTTGCTTTCTTTAGAGTAGAGAGGGTGGGACCTGATTGAGGTGTGTAAGATTATAAGAGATAGAGCAGATAGGAGACAGCTGTTCCCTTTAGTTGAAGGGTCAGTAACAAGGGGGCGTAATTTTAAATTGAAGGCAGGAGGGTTAGAGAGGATTTGAGAGAAAAAATGAGTGGTGGGAATCTGAAATGCACTGCCTGGGAGGGCAGTAGAAGTGGGAAACCTCACAACCTATAAAAAGTACATGGATAAGCACTTGAAATGTCATAACATTCAAGTCTATGACCAAGTGCTGGAAAGTGTGATTAGCATAGAAAGGTTGGTGCTGGCTGAAGGGCCTTTTCTGTCTATAACTCCATGATTCTATGACAGCATTTAGTCAGTATTAGTGGTGTCAGTATTTTAAGCCTCAGGGTTGATTTACACAGCTTCTTTTGCAATGGATGAACAATAACAGATGGTAAGTGATAAAGTAATTACAGAGAAAAACACAATAATACAGGTAATTGAAATGCAAATTTAAACTTTAATTATGTACTTGAAAAATATATTAAAATCTGTTATGGAATGTAATAAAGAGACATTGTCTGTACTTAAATAATCAGTTACTGCAATATTTGTCTTTGGCTCCAAAGATTAGCATTTTAGAATTTGAACTCCAAAGGCAGCCTGAATAATCTATTATGGTGTTTTTTAAAAAAAGCAATCACTGTGGTAAGAATTTATTTTGTTGCTGCAATCTGTCATTAACCTGCTATATTTATAAAATGGACCTCAGGCTATCAAACTATGCATTTAATATAGCCTTGAAGCAACTAATATTTTGATATTAAAAATACAACTTTATGTCACTACAGAAATGGGCCATATTTCCACAACATGTGTACATAAGCATAACTTTAATTAAAAATATTGTAACCAAATTATATTTACGGCAGACTGCATATTTAACGAAACAAAAACAGAAATTACCGGAGAAACAGTGACCTGTGAAGGGACTCGGGCATTAACACTGCTTTCTCTCCACAGATACTGCCACACCTGCTGAGTTTCTCCAGCAATTTCTGTTTTTGTTTCAGATTTCCAGCAACTACAGTTCTTTGTTTTATGTTAATGCTTATTTAATGAGTACTGTCAAGTTTAAATTCAGAATTTTTGCAAGAACACAATTTGCATAAACATTTTATTGTCAAGCTATTTCTCTGACATCTATTGTGTAAATCAGAGACACCCTTTATCCCACCCCCTGAAGGTAGTAACTTCCCTCCAACCCCCCCAACAGCATTTTGTTTCTCACTACCTGCTCTCCAAAGCATGAACCTCCCCAACTCCATCTCCTCCCTCCTTGTCCTAAAAACTAGGGACTTAACTGTCTTCAGTAACTTCCTCCTTCCAGTCCTGGCAGTGCACTCCATTGAGCTGACTATGCTGGAGATACCATTCAATAAGATTGCCTGGCAGCACTAGAAGGTGGGACGTCCTCCTGAGTCACAGAAGTTGTATTGTGAGTTGTTTTCTCACCTTGTTTTGCACCCCTGCAGCATGTTGTAGCTGTAGGACTGGCTTCTCTTTGGTGTATCAGCTACTAGCCAACTTCCCGCCTACTCTCCATAAAAGCTAGCCCAACGCATCAGACGTCTCAGTTTCACTAAGGGTAGCCTGGATGATGTGTGCAGTCTTTACCCAACTGGATCCTCCAAGACTGGAACAAGTGATATTTACACCATCTCTCTGTTTGTCATTCCCTGTTGCATAAGAGAAGTCATTGTTGATGTGCTTCAGTACTTCAGGAGACTGAAGATTTTGCAAAAGGAATGCTATTCTCTAACTGTCTGGCTGGTGTGCTTTAAGTCATGCAGGTCAGTGACTGGTATCCCAGTATTATCATAATGCCTTTTTACTGCACCATTCCATTGCCACCTACAGTGATCACACCTTCTCAAGGACAACTCGGGATGGGCAAGAAATGCTGGACCAGCCAGCAATATCCATATCCTATGAATCAGAGATAGTAGGAACTGCAGATGCTGGAGAATCCGAGACAACAAGGTGCAGGGCTGGATGAACACAGCAGGCCAAGCAGCAT